ATCTTTGAAAAAAATACACATGAACATAAAATTTTTATCAGTCATGATCGTTATTATTAAATAATGTTTGAATTTTTTGTGGGTTTGGAGTTTTTAATTAGATTAATTGTGATACAAAAAATGTTAAATGCATAATGAAAATCACTCTAATAAAAAAACAGACACTATTTCTTATACAAGTATTACATTGCTTTTATTTTTATCAACAATTGTATTTCTTGTAAACAAAATATTTTCTAGAGTCTTTTATCTAGCAAGCAATTGTTTTTCGAAAAATCTATTGGAATAGAAGAACAAAGATTATATTGACTGATGAATTATTTTACTCATACTTTTAAATAACAACAACCTGTGATATTACAGTTTGTAATGTATATGTTTTTAAAAGTACGAGTCATATATTCGTACTAAAGAAAAAATGTCTCTTACCTGCAACAATTTTATTAATATATTCACGATAAACTTTGTTTTTTTAATTTATAAGTGTGAACGGCATGAGTCACGAACTGTATTTGGAATAAACTGTAACGGTTTTCAGATATGCTATATTACCTTAAGAAACTGTAATTTTCACATTGCGATATCTGAACGCAATAAACCTTATTAATTGGCATTGTAAAAATTACCAATATTTTTTGCCACTATATCGATTTTGTATCACTCAATTGTAATCTTTGCCGCGTCACTCGGCAATAGCACGCATGCGCCATCGTAAGAATAGCTTTATGTATATATAGATATAAGTTGTATTTTTAATATGTAAATTTTCTTCACAAATAATGAAATTATCCGAGTCAATACCGTAAAAATTACGATTTCGTGCTGCAATAACTACACTTTAACAAAATTGTAATTGTTACTTTCTACGATTGTAATCAATGCATGTTTACAATAAAATAGCTGCAATGTACATTGCTATCGGATTTTTACAGTACAAACGTGTACTTTATGTTAGGCGAATTGTAAAAGTTCCTGTTTTATTAAAAAACTATAGAACTTATTATTTAAATAGTAAAAATTACAATGAATTTCGTTTATATTACAATTATTGCTAACAAAATATTTTTTTACTAGCAAAAATTGTAATTGTTACTGTGCCCTTTTTTCCTTATAGAAAATGAATAATTTCATTTGCAGCCTCTTTACCTATGAAATAGCCTGTACATGACTACATGGAAAGAAAAAAACGGTGATAGTTTTAATGACGATATAGGAATAGTTACTATATACCGTAATAACACACTTGTATTCGTTGGTTTTAAAATTCGTTATAGTAATGGTTACTATTTAATAAACGAAAGTTTAAAAATTGAAACATGAGATTGATTATCATCATTTTAGTGAATCTTTGACAGTTTTAGGAGAGTGGTACTATAGCTATGAGAATTATTATTATAACGCTTTGTTAAATACTTATATAGTTGTTTTGTAACCTTTAGCAGATCGTACACCTTAACTTAGTGACATATACATAAAGCTACGAGATTTTTATTTAAATAAATCATGAAAATTTTTTATCATTTTAATTAACAATTGTCAATTGTTATAAACAATTGAAAATAACTTCCCCCTATTGAGTAATGAAGATTTTTAGAGAATATGGTCTATATAAATAAAATATCGTTAATAACAATTATAATTTATTATAAACAATTGGAAATAGTTTTTTAAGTTTTATGTCATACTAGAATTGTTAAGAAAACTTTCTATCACACAAAACAGTAATCTGTTTTGTCCAGATTTATTAGACATGACATGAAAAAATTTTAGAAGCTGTTAGTAATGTTGAAGAACATAATCAAATTAATAAGTTTCGGTAGAGTAGTGAATGTATTGCTCCAAAAAGTATTGAGATTGGCATTAAAACCGAAAATACAAATTTAGATGATGCGTCAGTTTTAAAATCAATTAAAGCCACAATGAAAATTATTCCAATTAGAAGAGTCTTAATTATTTTTTTTAAATTCCTTACGTTTTGCATGATGATTTCAAAGCAGATAATTCTTCAGGTAGTCATAGAGGAGTTAACAAATGCACGGAGAGAATTTTTTCACTAAATGTAAGTGCAAAAATGACAACCCCACGTTTCGAAATTTAGAAGTAAAAATATTTCTGTTCAACAGTGAATTTTGGGTTGTCGTGACACCTTTTAAGTCACAAGTTTACTTACAACAACTCAAACTTTACTATCGAATAGACATATTGTTACTTCTAAACTTCGAAATGTGGGCTTGTCATTTTTGCACTTACAATTAGTGAAAAATTCTCTCTGTGTATGCTGCTGCTAATGTAGGCTCATCGAATTTGCGTCCTAAGTATGAGTCTAAATTGGAAAATATTTTTCTATTCGCTTCATTTAAAACTGTAGATTGGTATGCTCCTTAAAATGACGTTATTTTCCCAGTGAGAAGTTATTGGAATGGGTCCGATTTTGTGAATCCTGAATTTTGACATATCTCCGCGTTTTAAGGTCCCTAAAGTCGAATACAACAGTTTTCCAATTGACGTTTGTGTATGGGTATGTACGTATGTTCGTACGTGCGTTCGGAATCATTTTTTGTCTCGATTATCTCGAAAACAAAAAATAATATCGACATCGGACCTATTACATTCGACGCACAATTACGCAACTTGAAACTGATTAGGTTTTCAGCAGAATCGGTTCAGCTATTTTTTATGCAGAATCAAAAAACTAATTACAGATTACAAATAAAATATCGTTATAGACCTGTTTTATATGCTGTAAATATAGTAATATCAACTCCACTGATCTCCAGCATTTTTTTTATCCATCGACTCATTGTTTATGTTGAGACTTCTTTAAATGGACGTCAATAAGAGATAAATAGTCTTGAAGAATCTTTTCTCATCTCCTTAGTTGCACTCACATAATCTTTGAGCGTAGAGGCTACACACAATTTTACGTTTCTTGGAAAAAAAGGTAGAATCAGCGTAGGTTCCACTCTTCGAAGGCCTGACGTCTTAATTCTCAATGGAATTTTTATCTCTTACCTGGTTTTAATGAAATTATCCGAAGCAGCTAATCAGTTTAATTCGAATAACCTATAAGACAATTTTAAGAATATCAAATAGAAATTAGATATTTTTTTATCAGAATCCGAAAGATATTTTTTCGAAAGCTTTTGTTTAGTTGGGATTATATAATTACTCGTCAAATGAAATCGGTTCAAGGTGTGGGCGTTTCACATGTCATAGTTAGAATTTACTTCAACTTTATCTAACGTCCATTAAGCGTTTTTTTGACAGAAGTTAAATAGAATAAGCATGTCAATTATATATTAATATAAGCCCACGAATTATCCGCATTTAATTTATTCGACTGTTCTAAACGATACTCAACCATGAAAATCGACACTGCAAAATTCAAAATCTTAAAATACCTTCCAGGTAATCGAAAAAGACAATATCAGTTTCTTACAACTGAATTCGAGTTTTTAGAGCCAAAAAACGAAGGGACTGTAATAGTATAAAATTACCCTGAAAGTTTTTATATACGCAGACTCCTGAATTCTAACTGCTTATAATATTTTCTAAATTAACGATTTTTGGACAAAAACCCCGAATTTTTTGATTAGACTCTTTAGTCAATTGTTTATAATAAATGTATGTATTATAAACAATACGTGATTTTTGAAGACACCTATAGTCATGTTCAACATTATTCATTTATATTTATCAAATTCACCGATGATCTCCGTTATGCAAGGGCTAAATACTATTCTCAGTTATTTCATATTTAATTCATAATACATACTTATTAAAGACGTTTTTGATATCGCCACGTCAGCTTAATGATAGGTACATAGATCAAAACATACATAGAGCTCTCTAGTCTTGAAAGTCTTAAAGAACATCGTAAAAGTACGCCTTTTTGCTGATCAATAACTTCTTAGAGTTTACTGTAGTAACTAAAATTAATTGAAAGATATTTTTATAAAATTTCTTTTGAGTATAACCACAAATCAAACAGACAATAATTGATTATCATCAGACATAGATAGTATCGAAGAAAAAAAATCAATTTGCTAAATAGTAGAAGTAATAAGTAAAAGGGTAATTTTCTTCATTAAAAAATTATTTCAGTTTTTTATTTTCGAAAGAATTAAAATATTTGAAGCATATACAAAATTGATCAACGAAGTAAATGTTAGCAAAAAACAGTCTGAGTAGCTCTAGTGTGAGAAATAAAAAGAAAGACAAAAGGTGAATAAGCGCACTTGGTAGAGTCATTACCATAACTCTTAATACATGAATAATAGATTAATTGAACATGAAAATGTCAATCACTGGTGAATGTTAATTTACCGCCGGAGCTGTGAGAAATTAAATAATTGATTTACTATCATAAAACGGTGTTTACCCCATTATATCAAAATATACCACTGTAAATCCATCATTGGGGTTAACAACACGTAAATCATTCAAAATAAAACATTTATGACAAAACACCACTTTTTGACTATATCGTAAAAAAAAAATGATTTTTATGTCAAAGAAAGATTGCATTATTTTACAAGTATAATTTTAAAAGAAAGATTCTCAATATCTCAAATTCTGCAATAAATCAAATTTTTATCGTAGATAATATGTTGCCATACTTTTGTAAATAGTAATACCATGTTTATAAAATCGGTACCTATTCTTTCATATTTATTGAAATATAAGATGTCTCTTATATTTAAACTACTTCAGTGAGCTGTCAAAAGTATTTTGGCATATGTCCAAGGATTAAGATTCAAACGTAAAAACTTTTGATTTTAGTTCAATACTAAGGATTTGGGGATTTGTTCCAAGGAACAATCAGGTCATGCCGATTTACAAACTTACCATTTAAATGTATTCTAAATGTAATTGAGGTTACTAATTAATTTAATCGAATTCTCACTTGTACAAGCACCGTTTTAATATATAGCTGATAGTAACAAACCGGCGTTGCCATTTTAATTTCATTTCATGTATATTTTCATTTCTCATTTCAGGTGGTCCTAGTATTTATCCTCAGTATAGCGTCGCTTATAATATACTTCATCGATGCGTCAGCGTAAGTAGAATTATTTATACAATTATTGTTAACTAGATATTTTTGGAAGCAATCGAAATTTTATAACAGCAGTATCACCAATTCAATTATAAATATATTCGTTAAAAATCTAAGTATAAAAGAAGCTCAAGCAAAATACTAAAAAGAAATTGATTGAATGATTAGACACATTATATGTTTCTTATCATGAATGCAATCTACATTTCTTTAAGAATATGTTGTGATAATTTCTAAATTTTCGGGTTTGTTACAGGGAAGAGGTCGAACGTTGCCAGAAGTGGAGCAACAATATTACTCAGCAGATAGACTTAGCTTTCAATATATTTTTTATGGTCTACTTTTTTATACGTGTAAGTATTAATACAAAACGTACGATCTAGTTCTCTTTTGGTTGACCTCTCTGTTAGCCTTCAATAAAGTTTCGATCGAGTACATTCTATGACAAGACTATAACAGAAAGTGTTGTTGTTCAATAAGAATGAATGAATAACGTCTCTCATTTATTGACATTCATTTATTATACTAGGTCCTCAAAATACTTTTTACACAGACACAAATAATGTAATTTGCAAATATGCCATAGTATACTAGAAGTTATCAATGGCATAATAAATAAGTGACACGTTTTACCGCATTATTATATTTATGATAAATGACATATACCATATTTCTGATCATTCATTTGTATTATATGGTATTGTAATGTGATAGTAAATAAAAATTATATTTCTCATAAACAAGATAGCTTATATTCATCAAATAGTTATCTGGGAACTGTTCCAAAATAAACTATCATCCATATTTATACAACGGATTCAAAACGTTGCTGAATTTTTATTGAAATTTTTTAAGGCAATTGACTATTTTATTTTTCAAACATGAAAGAAAAATTGATTTTTACATCTAACATCTTCCGACATTTTTTATTTTTATGTATTTTTTCATGAGAGATTAAAGCTTCAACTTGATTTGGACAGTATTTCTTTCTATAACCTCTAGAATGATTGCATGTGATGATTTGCAGAGGGAAATTGGGGTTAAACCTAATAATTCAACATGGATGTGTAAACCCAGTTGAACTAACTTATAAAAAAAATTCTTGTGTTCTCTCTGGAAAGTTAGAAGCTTTGTTCCCATTTTGAGGTTTGAAAGTGACAAATCCCCATTCTTATCGATAGACAAAAAATCGTTTGTGCGTAAACGCTGGTTTTTCTGTGGAGAAGAGAACATTACCTTTCCAACCCTAAAAGTAAAAGTTTTTGTCACTTTGGGGATGTTATGACAAAAAATAGTATACTCACCTTGGGAAAAAAATGAGATGAGTCATGCCGAGTACCTGTCACCCTCACATTCGACTTGAGTGGCAATCTAATTTATGGTATGATATAGTTCAGATTCGCCCCACGGTATGTAATACACTATTTCCGAGTTAGGAAATGAAACCTACGATCGCTGTCTCACACGCAACCTAAAGTGACGTCTAAACCCGCTCAGCTGTTCGGATATTGGAAATACTTTGAGAATTTTTATTGAATACCTTCTACACAAAAATCCAATAATGTAAGCACAAATGTAATGTGGGTTTCGATTGATAATATAGAATTTCTCCAGAATTAGCACAATATAAATATACCGGTTATCTATATTTTTAAAACGTGTTTTCAATTATGTTAACATTTAATATTTTATTGAGATTTTAAATGCCAAATAACATTCTTATTTAATAAAGTTAACATTTGTATGTATCAATCCATTAACACTAGAAGTAGATGTTAAATTAACACTACTATACATTACTTTCAGCACTTTTATTATAGAAATTGATATCAGGAATTTTTTTGATACAAAAACGTGACCATCTCTTTAATCGAACAAATTCGCATAGCTGCCAGAATGACGGACTTCAATTTATTCACGTTCACTCAACAGACATTTCATGATTATTTCTCCCTTAGCAAAAATGAAAATTTTATTTTTTAATAAAATTGTTTTTAATTGCGCAGTGACTAATTCAGTCATAGTCTACCAATCTAATTAATTATCAATAACATTTTTTCCGATGAAATTTGGTCTAATGTTTCTCTTTTCTCCTGAAAAAAATAGAATTTTTAGTAAAACACAGAAATCATAACTAAACTTTACAGGAATTATAATTTCTTAAACTATAGAAAGATTGTAACATTTATTTATTAACTTTCCATTAGAAAGTTATTGTAATGCGGTCGATTTTTTAAGTTCGTAATTTTATCATATCTTTACGTTTTGGAACATTTAAAAGTGTATGAAAAGGTTTTCACGTGTATGTATGTATTTATGTACATTTCGCGTCGGAAGAATTCAAATATATCGCATGGATCTCTTTTTTCATTAGTTATAACAAATTTAATTGTTATGAATAAAGAAGCATGTTTTCATTTATGTCATACAGTTGGTAACTTTTTTTCAGCAAAATAAAAAATTACACGTTAATAGTACACAAATATGTTGCATAGATCTTGTTTCCCATTCTTTATAACAAATGGAATTGTTATAAGGCGAAAAAAGTATGTTTTCATTTATGTCGTACGGTTGGTAACATTTTTTTAGTAAAAGAAAAAATTATGCGTTAAAAGTACTCATATATATATAGCATGGATCCCTATTTTTATTGTTTATAACAATTTAAAACTTTTTATTTAAATATTACTATAATCAATAATCACTTGTTAGTAACAATGTTCAATTGTTATGAACACAATTTCATATTATTGACAATTATTATTTACTATTACAGCGTCTTTAATGCTGTTTTCTCAATCCTGACACGAGTTTAAAATTCTTTCATTGCTGATTTTGTTTTTTAAAATTTTTTTTTTCGATGAAATGTTGTCATCATATTTTCTTACAAGTATTTTAATCATTTAATATTCATATTTTTTAAAAGATTTTGAAATTTTGTCTAAAAAATGGTATAATTTATAAATTGCAAAATTCAGGTCGTTTTCCATTTATGCCAGTTTTTTGATTCTGCATAAGAAACTACTGGACCGATTTCGTTGAAAACCTAATCAGTTCTAAGTTGCGCAATTACGTGTCGAATGCAGTTGATTCCACATCGATATCATTTTTTGTTCTCGAGATAATCGAAGCGAAAAATAATTCCAAACGCACATACGTACATACGTACATACACACACAGACGTCCACTAGAAAACGGTCGTATTCGACTCTGGGGACCGTAAAACGTGGAGATACGTCAAAATTCGGGATTCGCAAAATCGGACCCATCACTATAACTTCCCACTGGGAAGTTAACAAGCATTGTCTTTTCCACAAATCCTGTATCATTACTTCATGATTAACCTAATTAAGATTAACCTCGATTTTTTTGCATGGTTTGCAATTCACTTCAAATCAAAGTGAATTATTTTCATATACACTTTTAACACGCTGAACCTTGTCAATGTCAAATGCCCTGAACAAACTATAGATTTTTCACACATTATGGAACGTGTAAAAAGTGTCTATAAATCATGTATGTCTGTTGATTGATATTTTACATTGAACACACTTCATATGTATTATTTTAATACGTTTGCGAAATCTTGGGATTTGCAGTGTAATCAATATTTGTAAAAATATGTATTGGCATAGATCACATTAATGCAAAAAATATTTTATTAAACTAACAAGGAAACTTCGAGAGGTGGTCACCGTCGATTTAGGTGACGCTTCTATATAACAATCTACATTGAACATGATGAATTACGTATTTTTTTTTTTCTGCGGAAAAACGTTTTAAAAGAGTGAATTTACGAGATACGTGTCTTTGCAATTTTTAAAATAACATTAACGACAGTAAACAAAATCGCAATTTAAAAATTTTTAATTGTTATGGATAAATTATTTATAGTCACAATATTCACCGAATAAAATATGTCGTAATTAGAGTCTGAATAGTTTAGGATTAGTCAAAATAATGTTTTTTGTTATTGTCATATAGGCAAACATAGATATAATTCTTATCTCAATCACTGATAAACTATTTTTCAGGAAAATTATTTCTGTAATTTTGATATACGGATTATTTAATGCTAGGATTTTGAACGAATGTGACATATTTTAATCATTTAAAAATTTTAAAAATATTTTTGTGCATTTATTTTTAATACTAAAGTGAATGTATATTTTTGTCTTTTGCATTCATTTCAATTTTGGTTAATAGTCATTATTTTATATGTGTATAAAATCGTGTGCTTGGAATAGAAATATTATCTTCTTTTCTTCTGAAACTTCTGTAACACTCAATAGTTGAAAATGAAAGTTAACCCCCTTAATGTAATTTGGTAACTTTTAAGAACATTTTAAACTATAAAAATTATGGAAACACCTGTTAATTATGTTGAAATACAATTGAAGAATCACTTTGAACAAATATCATTGAATGCAATGAATGGGTATTCTGATATCGAAATGATAGAGTAGAATTCATTACATTTTGAAGAGCCATATAAGGATTGGGAACCAGAAATTATAAAAGACGAAGAATATGCATCTGCAATCCATGAACCAAAAGCGTTTGATGGAGCATGTATTACTGATGAAGAGAGCTGAAGACATGATTATAAATTGCGAACAGTTGAGTATTGGCGAAGTGGTAAGAAAAAGAATTTACATACAAAGAAAAAATAGCTCAAATTTGCAAATATACGTTGGAAAATGTTAAAACTGCTATCGATGCTGGAATGATAGTCTATAATTCCGATTAAAAAAAATGTATGTAAATATATTGCAATTATCCGTTGTACATGGTGTGAAAAATCATTGTGTCTTGAACATTTTTACAATGATAATCATATATGCAATGCGTGCGATGAATAGGTAATTCATCTTCTTTATTTTGATACAAATCTAAGAAAAAAGGAAATAGTTTTTTTGACATTAATTTCGATGTTATTGTAAAAATTGCAAAGACACGTATTTCGTAAATTTTTATATTTTTTCGATTGAAACTGGTATCATCATGAAATAATTTTTAGTTTTTGAGTTATAAATTTTTTTTTATTTTTAATAAGGTCGTTTTGAAAAATTTCGATTAGAAATATGTGAAAATGAAAAATCACTTGTATAGGGTGTCAACTTTATGGGCGATTTTCACTCTTTTAAAACGTTTTTCCGCAGAAAAAAATACATAGTTCATCATTTTCAACGTAGATTGTTATATAGAAGCCTCAGCTTAATCAACGGTGACCACCTTGTGAGGTTTCCTTGTAAGTCTATTTTTATTCTTTATTATTAACTTCCCAGTGGTTTATTTATTTTGTTATTAAGTAATTTTTGTTAAAAAAAAAAAATAGTTGACAACTTGAAATCAATAATAAATATCGTATTTATTCAGTTAAAATATATTTAGGTTTAATTTCCTTTGAAACCCATAGATTTTACTACCTTCCCATTGTAAGACTTCTTATATCTGATTAAATTAAAAAAAATAAGTTCAAAGTAGTCTGAATTGAATTAGTCTACACTCGTTCTAATTAGAAGATTTACATCAAAAAAATTTATATCAATTTCTTCAAAACACTTCTATTCAAGTGAGATTAAATATGATTAGATAAAATAGTTCTTTATTTTCCTTCTATTAAACTTTATTTGATATAATACATAGTTTCGAAATTACTGATTGTCATGAAATTAATATAGCTGCGTTGAATTTGATCTGACTAGAAGTCAAATCGATAATAGTATGTTTAATACAATAGGGTCTTTGTTGTAAAGATTTAAAATACATTTTAAATCTTATTGGTAGTAAAGTATTGGCCATGGAGAGAATTGTTTCACTAAATGTAAGTGCAAAAATGACAAACCCACGTTTCGAAATTTAGAAGTAAAAATATTTCTGTTCAACAGTGAATTTTGGGTTGTCGTAAGTGATTCTTTTATTAAGACACCTTTTAAGTCACAAGTTTACTTACAAGAACTCAAAATTTACTGTTGAATGGAAATATTTTTACTTATAAAGACAGGCCTGGAATATTTTAATCAAGTAAATATCACACGGGGAAAGAATTTATCAAAAATGAAGATCCAGTGGTAAAGAACTGTATAAACTATAGCTTTATACAGCTTATAAGTTATAGCTTATAAGTGATAACTGGTGGAGTTAAAGTATCAATGGATCCTGTGGATTAAACGAGAGGCATACAAGCAGCATACCCTTTGGTGGACAACGTCATTCCAAGCTGGAGACCAGTTACGTTGCTGATTGAACAATCAGCTGAGGAACTCCACAGTCATCAACGCGTGAGCATAGAAAACTTCAAATCGTATTTATTATTATTCTTGCTGATCCAACTCATTGTATGTATGCATGTATGGAAAGTGAGTCGTATTCTCAGGTGAAACAGTTAAAAACATTTGCTGACTTAGTGTCGGTTTTCGAGCGTTGGCTCGCGCACGCGCATTAGTATATCGTTGCAACATACGATTTTATAAAAAACTCATCAGTGGTAGTTTATGTATCCTGTAATAATTTAAGTCTCAGATGTTATTGTAACTGAGAAACTTGGCCATATATTTCGTATACGAAATATCGTTAATGTACAAAAGACTGTTACATGTAGCCCGCCTCTGAGTGTTAGAGTCTCGACATTGTAGTCTGTAAATTGTTGTACATTTGATTGGATCAACTGTAATAACCCAGAGGTCCTTGGGGTTCAAGCACACATGATTTAAATGTATTTAGTAAAATATACTCAGTGAGAGATTGGGATAAAACTTTCTCGGTGCCTATTTTTTCCCTGATAATTATAGTTCGTATTACGTAATAATCATTTCAGGGCTTCCGACTGGCCAGTATCCGTAAGGGAAAAGTTTTCCCTACACGGTACTTGGTTTCGAAGTACGGAAAGAGCATATACTATATTTTGTGACAGAGTGAACTGTATGTAAAAGAATGTAACATTCTTCTGAGTAAACTAGAGAAACTTCAACTGAATAATCAAGTCAATGCGAAAATTGTATTAAAGACTTTTAATATTTATGCATCAAATGCAACTCTAAATCGTCGAACAAACTTTGTGTTTCATATATTAGATTACATGTAAAGTTTAACAAAATTTTTCAGTTTATTGCCGCCAGTGACAAGCTGTGGTTCATGCTGGAGATGTACTCGTTTGTGGATTACTTTACGATACCACCGTCTTTTGTATCGATCTATCTTGATCGTACATGGATAGGACTGCGATTCCTTCGAGCCTTACGACTGATGACGGTCCCTGACATTCTCCAGTACCTCAACATTCTAAAGACATCGAGTTCCATTCGTCTCGCTCAACTCGTCTCCATATTCATTTCCGTCTGGCTCACTGCTGCTGGAATCATTCATTTGGTAACTATTACTATATCCATTCCTAAAACAGGAATTATTTTCATCACTTTCTTAATATCTTTCATATGTAGTAACAACGAATTTGTGAGATTTTAAAAAACTAATCAATTCAATAGATTCTATTCGTTATTTTATTTTCAATAAAACCGTGTGTCACAATACATATAATTAAAGTAAAATTTCTTATGCGTAGAAAATATTAGAATGAAATGGTTTATGGTAGGAATATAGTTTATACAGCATTAGAGAAAGCAAGAACATTCTTCGGCCAATTCATCTGTGATATTATAATGCAATCTTAAATTATTTAATTATTATTTTTCCTATTTTATGTTAATAATATAATTTAGATGATTATATTTCGTATGCATAAGGTGTTTCATTTCATTAGTATGTTTTGTAACGTAAATATATTTTTTTATTACCTGCTTTATTCGTGTACTTGAAATAGGGAGCTATAATTCTTTTAATATCGTTTTTACATGTTCTAATTATTTCTTAAAATCACTTTTGTTCATGCCTGATTGTGACGATGATGAATTTGATTTTTTTTACTACAGGTGAATAAAATTCTTATACTTATCTACCTAGTTTTTAAAGAAAGTTAAAATTTTCCGTAATAACTTTAAATAAATTGTAATTTAAAGTCATCAATTTGTTTTAAGAGTAATCTTTGTTTTCAAATGTACTTTTATAATGAATTGTTTTTTTAACTTAAAATTTTATTATAGTACGTCTTATTTAAATAATTCAAGTAAGAACAGTTTATTCACATAAACAGATTATACTTATTGCTAATAGCTCTAGTTTTCAATTTACAATGTATTTCTATCGCTCAATATATGCAGCACCGCTTTTTTTATTACATCTAATGCCAAATTTATTCATAGAGATGAATGGTTCTTCGTAAGTAAATAGTCA